AATGCTTTATAACTATACAAATAATAATATATAAATCATATAATAATAATATAAAAACTATATAATTTTATAAATTAGGGTAGAGACATTTATCAGGTGATTTAAAGTTAATAAGAGGCCTACCCCCTCCCCCCACCTGATATAATATAACAAAATTTGATTGGCTAATTATTAATTATAGAACTATATATATAAATACTAGTACAATCTAATTTTGAATTTATTTATATTATAATATATAGATACAAATAAAATTGGTAAATATTTTTTAAACATATTCGAATATATTTATTTTGTACTTTACAGCTAATATAAAGAGCGCTCTTTTATTTTATAGATGTTCAACTTAATATATATCTATATACCTATCATATTAGATTACACGTTCTTATACGTATATACATTCATGCATATATATTTGCATACCTTTGTGCACATGCATTTGTATTCGTGTGCATGCATTTATATATATATTCGTGATCATACTATACAAATATATCCTATTCATCAAATTTCAGCATAAAGTTAATTCTCAATTAAAGTCACTGTTATTTAATAAATATTCGCAGATATTCAGAGAATTCGTGAATATTCAGAAAATCTATGTAATTACGTTTCTCATATTTATCAGATATTCGCACAGAATATTCACACAGATATTTACATGGATATCCGCACAAAAATATTTGTATGAAATATTTACACAAATATTTGCACGGATATTCATATAGATTATTTGCACAGAATATTCTTAAATAAATCTCGATTGTTCATAGATTTTGTGTAACAGAATATTCACATACTAATTGAATATTCATTTTATCCGTGAATATTCATGGGTCCCAGCTCTAGTCAGGAGTTGTTCCTTATAGCGCTTGTAAAAAGATTTGGCCCTACATTTTTTGTGCATTGAGAGAAATTTCTGAGATTCTATATTGTCAATTAATCATATTTTCGATTTGTTAAATTTATATTTAAAATTAGTAAAATTCTTAAGATCTATAGAATCCCCCAGTTTCACATGTCACCGTGATCTGCAGAGGTTGCATTCTTTCACAAAAATAATATGTAAAAAGATATTGATCCAAGTCTAAAAATCGACTAATCATTTCTTTAAAGTGTAAATAAACAAAAACCACAAAACATTAAAAAATACTTAAGTTATTTGTTTAACATGACAATCTGGAAATAAACTTAGTGATAATTAGAGATGTTAAAAGTTTGGTCCGGTTCGACTAGACTTCAAAAGTCAAGTCTTTATTAATGTTCGGTCCCAAATCAAACTTGAAATTTGAATTGCATTTTACATGCAACTTGCATATAAAATATAGTACTAAAAAAGAAATGGATACATATGAAATATACTTTTTTTTTTTGGTTAAATTTAAATGTTCAAGATGATGTGAAATGTAAGTCGAGTCCTAAGTTTGGGGCCAAACTGTAATAAGGACTCGACTTTTAGAATTGAACCAGACTGAACTTTTAACATCCCTAGTACAGTAGTGATAATAGTCTGATACAGGACTCATTGTAATTCGAGACTATTGTGGGAAGAGTTAATTATAAGTAGATATCAATGTTAATATATAAACTTAAAGCCAGTCAAGGAATAATCAAAACAATCTCACAATTTTATACTATTATTCATGATAACTTAAATTAGAAGTGACCAGCCAACTCCCAGAAATCTTCTGAGCCTTTTTAAGCTTTCTTGGTAGGATTCTGCAAACGTTGCCACGGTACTCTTTAAACTTAGTGCCAAGTGCAGGGATGCGTAGTACATGATTAGTAGTTTATGTCTGGAACCTGCAGGGCTGTAATACATGCATGCTCAAAAGAAAATGATAAGCCAAAGCCACAGGACAACAAAATAAAAGGAAACTGTGCCATGCACTTGGACGAAAAAAATGATGCGGAAAAAGCGACTTTTAAAAATAGTAAGAGTTTCACAGATAATGAAAATACGCGTAATTCAAATATTAAAAAAAAAAAAAACGATTTATTAGTTATAAGTATTATGTAATTAAAATAAAATAAAAAGGAATAAAAAATGCTACCATCTTACAATTCAAATCCATGAAAAATTATTTCTTAGAGACTTTTATTTTGTTAATACCTTATAAGCACCAACAATAAAAAATTAAATAACAATCAAAAAAAATGCAAACATTCCTTTCCACTCCAAAATTTGATAAACAATATATATATAAAGATCCTCAAAACACTTTTCATAAATTTACTAACGCATTCACTTATTATAAGATGGCTTTATTAGGTTCTCCGTCTCTTGATAAAAAAGTTATATGTGAAGAATGCAATAATGAGTGGAATTTGGTTAAAAAATTTCCTAAAGAAGAAA